ATTTGGCCAGAAGTTGGATTTTTCCAGGCATCTTGATCAACATAATAATACTATTAATGATCGATGCACCGAAATGCATGACACTGAAGAACTCACTAGTATCGAGAAAAGTATCTTATTCGAGTGTTCTGAAGATAAAGGGAAATTAGAATCATCTGTTAGCGGAGGTGCAGATATAAATAACCAATACGTTGAACACATTTCAAAATACACTATAGTTGCTACAAGCTTTTTCGATAATCTTTATCTTAGCGGGACAAACTGTACACAAATCACACAAGATACAAACAAGTCTTCAAGCATCTTTCCTTCCGGACAATCTACTGAGACATTTGGAACGATCCATGACCGGGTAAATCCCTTCATTGATCACGATCGTACACTCTTTTTACCAATTTCAAACACATCGTTCAGACATGTCGAAAATAGTGCAGATTCTATGAAAGTAATTCTACAAAACAGAGAAGTTTCGAACACACTTGGAAATAATGAATCAGAGTGCTATCAATCTAAAGAAGAATTTCAAGCAAATACAGATTCCATAAGTTATATTGCTAATGTAGATGCTAGCTTTCAAGAAGTTTCAACCAATGAATCGATCGATATTCTTCAAAATGGAATAATTGAAGCCGAAGAACATACAGAGACCACGCAACATGCTGTTATTGATGACTTGGCATCACACAATTGTTCACAATTGCTTGCAAACTTCGAATCTTCGAATACGTGTAAAATTTGTCCCACGATAGACCCTGCTGAATCTAATCTATTTCCAATCAGAACAACACAGAACCATTTAAATGCCACATTGCCGGAAAAAAACTGCCAGGAAAAAACTGATGAGCAAAAGGCTATTTGTACTGAATTGAAAATTTCTGGATCAAATGATTCAAATCCACTTGTCAAGCAAATTGAACCAAACTTATCAGTTAGTAGTAAATTCTCAGAGATGAAAAAAACTACACATTATTGTTTGACACTACTGGGCTGTTGGAAATGCTCAAAAATGTTCAATTCAGCTGATACTCGTTTATACCACTATATGAAATATCATTCTGAATCATTCCTACCACCCGTGACTCTATCCACTAGCTCTCATGGTAACCATTCGTACAAGTCCACCTCTTGTTGGCAATGCCATAAAAAGTTCAAAAGCTTCAGTCAAAAAATATCTCATTTCATTGAAACTCATGCTAAGAATATTGTAGCCATCGAATCAGATCCAACAAATATTCTTAGAAATCAAATCACAATGGCACAGAAGAAAATGCAAATCAAACAAAATACGACAAATACTACCGAAGCTTTCGTCCGCTGTTTCGAATACTCGAAGATATTTAAAACGATTGTTAATCGTTCGGATCAAGTCAATAGTGATCGTACTGCATCTGACGTATTCAGTTCTATCGATTGTTCAACTGCAATGCAACAAGAAGAAATGAAAATTATGGAAGAAAACCTAATCTCTAATAGATTAGATCGTTATAATCCCGAAATTTTAGAAGCCGTTTTATCAACAAATGTCATATCTCCGAATAATATTGATAAGCAAATAGAAGTTTTGGAAGAACATACTAGCAGTACTGAACCAACGTTGACGCTTTTCAATATCTCGTATTATTGCCAACATTGTCGACGGGAATTCATGTCTGCTGTTGATCATTCAAAACATTTTCAAATCGAGCATAAGGGAATGAAATTTTCTAACAAAATTTTCGAAATTTTTTTTTCCGATCCCGATAGTATGCGATGTCCTAAAGCAAAAGGCTCGACCCTTGTTTATATGTCGTTGGGAAATAGTCGAAAACAAATCCATATTCAACATGAGAAAGTGAATCAATGCCCATACGATGCATGTCAATTAGAAGTAGTTTATTATGATTTCAAAGAGTTTTGGTTACACATAATTGAAGAACACAAAACAGCAAAAATCCAGCTAGAATGTTGTGATCCAACGAAGATGTACGCTCCAGAAGAATACAGGAAACATATTCTTCATCTAGATTAGAATTCTTAGGCTTCATCGCTTGTAAGATTAACACTGGTGAATTGAAACTTTGCGGATATGAATATTATTTTGATGACATTTTTTTTTGTTTTCGATCACTCTATTTAACATATTGCATATTCATATAACGTACATTCTATTTAATGCTAACTACACGGTGGATTGAAGTTTTAAGAGTTCAAAAATTATGTATAAATACAGTGTGGATATCGATATTTAAATTTTCCCGACATTCATTGCTAAGCACGTGGCCATCAACTTCTATATAGAGCACTTATGTTTTTCCTATTGAATAATTCAAACAAAATTAAGATCGATATTTTGAACAATAGCAACAAGTAAAATAAAAACGAAAGTTTGAATAAATTTCGCTTTTTTGATATTGAATTTCAATGCAACATTATTTTGTAAAAAAAGATGAAAGAAAGTCTGAGAATAGGACTTTTATGGAAGTTCGCATGTTGTCGCTGTGTTATGTCTGAACTGTTCCCCTTCAGCCATAAGACGGAATCAAGAAGGAATGATATACACTCCTTTCTAGTACAGTGGTAATACGGCTGTCCGGAAAGCAGAAGACGTGGGTTCGATTCCCTCGGGAGGAGTATTCTTTTGTTCCGTTCCGTTGTCATACCATCACGTTGCTGTCTCGGTGATAATGCGTAATAATATGAGAGGGTGTGGGTGTGGGTGTGGATGTGGGATGTGGACGAGGGTGGTGTGAGTGTGGGGTGTGGGGTGTGGGGTGTGGATGTGGGTGTGGATGTGGGTGTGGATGTGGGTGGCTGTGGATGTGGATGTGGGTGGGTGTGGGGTGTGGGTTGAAGAGGAGACCAATATCCATACTCACACACACACGCTCACACCCACCCTTAAACCAAAAGCATATTTCAATAGAACGCGGGACGGTGAACAAACTTTGAAATTCATATTTATTTCTTCTTAATTTCGTATAGTCAAATTATTCTCTTTTTTGGTACATGTCATCAAAAAATGACTTTTTTTTTACAATGTATCTTTCATAAGTCACCTATTGTATGAGATAGATGGCGGAAATTTTGTGTGGAAGTTGGACACTTAGGGACTACTACCCTGTAAAAAAGTTGTCCAAATCGGCTGAAGAGAAAAAACGTTATTCAAAAAATACAGCTAAAATTCAATCGTACCAAAAAGTTGCAATTCACTCATGTATACACGTCTACGATATAGAAATTTTTAGAACCTACAACCTGCCTTCTTTTTTTAAATTCAAGATTATTATTATAAAAACAAGAACATTTTTCAGTTATTTTATTATCTTGAAGAAAGCTTGGAAGATTCCAACTTCACTGGGTTTTTTTGTAACATGAAGTTGTTTTTTTGCTGCGTATAATTGTTTTTTTGCACTCCTCTTCTTTTTTTTTAACGGTAGGTACAATCACTTCAAATTTTTTATTTGCAGAGAAGAAACAAGAGGAAACGTTTTTCTTTTTTCCCAGTAGATAGCGCTTACTCTATACTGGCGCCCTACAAACGGGTTGGGCATCCGAACCCGATCCGGCAATGAATTAGATTTCGACGTCTCAAAATATTTTTACTTTTTCAAACTGCTAATTTATATAAAAGTATAGGACAGAAGTAATTGAATACATGCAGAAGAAAATAAATTATCAAAAAGGCGAACATATATTCTACTGACAGAAAAAGTATTCATGTATGTATTCACAATTATGACGTTTGACACTAACACTGCGTTTCATTCCGATGTCATCAGTAACCAACAAATATATACTTGACAAAATTAATCGGATTTTGAGAAGCAGAAAGACGCCAAATGAATTTTAAATCACGTAAACGGTTTTTCTTTTTTGAATGCTTCATATAAAAATTATTTGATGTTAGAGAAGCGAATATATGTGCTTGAAAAACAGAAAAATCGGACATTTTCATGAAAACAATTTTCATAATTCGAGATGGTGGTCAAAGTTTATAATATTCATAAGAAATCTAGTATAGAGTAAGCACCATCTACTGGGAAAAAAAGAATAATTTTATCTCTTGTTTCTCCTGCGTAAATAAAAAAATATGAAAATCTTTGTAATTGTCCGAGTACTTTTTTGAAGTGATTGTATATAGAGACAAGAAAATTTCGAAGACAAAAGACGCATATTTAGACTAGTACATCAGCACATGTCTATGGCATAGCCTCTTGTAGAGCTTGAAAGGTAGGACCCTTTCAAAACTTGAAACATACTTTGTTTTAAATTCCAGATAATTATTACTAATACAAGAATATTTCGCAATAATTTTATGATCTTGAAGCAAACTCGAAAAATTTCAACCTAATTGTTTTTCTTTGTATAAGTGTATACGGATTTCTCTTCTCATTCTTTTTTTTACGGTACGTATATAACGACAACGCAATTTCAACAATAAAAGACAAGTTTTTTTTTAATCACACTACGTAACACATGTATACATGTCTACGATATAGAAACTTGCAGAAATTGAAAAGTAGAATGATTTTAAAACTTGAAGCCTACTTTATGTTAAATTCTAGGTTATTATTACGAAAATAAGAATATTTTGCAATTACTTTATGACCTTGAAGTAAACTTGGAAAATTCCAACTTGCGCGTATTACTTTCGTTCTTTTTCTCTTCAAGATAAAATATATATTTTTTGTGTCTACAAGCAATAAACGTCATTTTTTTTCTCCATTCTTTTTGAAAATATGTAAGTAACCATGATTTTAAAAAAACGTTAATGGATATATTTGAATCTTGTATTTTCTCATATCTTTTCTTTACTTGATATTCTAAGACTATTATAGTCATGAGTATATCTTTGTCCTTGTTAATTCAAATATTGAAAAATTAATAAGAATCATGAATCTTTTTTAATTTAAATTCTGTCCTAAAGCATATCTAGGATGCATGCGTATCTGTTTTTAGATTTTTTTCATTTTATATTGTTTGAAGTTTTTAATCAATTGAAAAAAATCTCTACTTTTCGCATGTCATCCGTCGTAGATGAATTATCTAGTATTTGTTATCGTACAGCCATTCTATCGGCAGAATCATTACCAGAAAACAAAGTACTGACTAACAAAGATGAACATATTGTTGATCATCTAACTGATCAATTCAACCCATCTCAATGGGTTTATGGCAATGGTATGAGTTGATATTATTCTAGAAATGCTTAGTTTTATAAAATTTTTTTCATACAAACGGATGATCAGAAGGTTTTTAGACAAGATGTTTGTTCATTTTTGACCTGCTAAAAAGTTTTTCCAACGAGTCAAAAACTATGAGTTAAGATGCTCTTTTCGAATATAGTCTTCAAAATATTGTTTTGATTTTGTTCGAGAGCAGTGAAATAATCTTTGAACAGCGTAAAATAGTTAATATGGATGGACTTGTGGATCGACGCTTCTGGCGAACATGTTTGTTCATTTTGGTCTCCTTGAAAGCATTTCAGACGAGCCAAAAACTATAGATCATAACCAGAATTTGACTACGAGCTTAGAAATGTTGTGTCTTCTTTTATTCAAGAATAGTGAGAGACTATTTGAAAGATCTGAAAAATTATTTTTTTTTTGTGGTGAGTTAACAAATGTTTGTTTACTCAATAGGCCCTTTTTCAAGCATACTAAAAATTGTCGGAGTCGGTCGTTTTGTAGAACAAACATTTCTCTACAAAATGTGCTATTGAACTAAGCTGTAGCATTTATCCAAGTGAAGTTACAAGCATTTTTTAAGAACTCTTTTCAACGTAAAACAATTGTCCATTTTTTTCAAAAATGAGTATTTACCAAAAACGAAAATTGAGCTGCCTTGCCAAAAGACCAAATAAAAACTTCAAATAGTGCATCTTGTAGGATAGGTTCTCCTCTACAAACAGATATATAAATAAAGATCCTAGTTCTTAGTTTCGAATCACATTCGTGAAAATACTAAAATTTTTCATCCAAACTAATTTTTGGGGTATTTTAAAAATTATTTGACTACTCGGGAACCAAAATTGAGACAATATTTCTAAGTCCATATTCGAAAAGAGTATCTTAACTCATAGGTTTTGACTCGTTGGAAATACTTTTTAGTGGGTTAAAAATAACTAAACATCTTGTCTCAGAAACTTTCCTTTCGTCCGTTGTAATAATTAAACAGATCTTGCTTATTTTTTAGTCCGTTCTAATGCTCCTGTTGTTATTTTCTATGGTCCTCAACATTCATCTTTAAGAATTGCATTGATCGCATATTTAACAGTTGAGGATATAACGTTGATACTTTTTTCGGTAGAAGAACATCTGTGGCAATGGTTAGATTTAAATTCATCGTTAACAGTTGCTTCTATCATTCTTCAGCCAATCATTCAAATTCAAAAATTTATTGCTCGAAGTCATACTTATGTTGGTATTCGTTCGATTCTTGTCCGTTGTAGAACAACTGATTTAACAACAATACAACGATTTTCAAGATTTTATAGAAAAGTCGATGGCATTTTTGATGATGATACTCGTCTTTCGATCAAATTAGTGGTTGGTCTGACACATTTCTCCGAAGAAATAGGAGATCAACAAAGAGAAGACAACAACAATGAAATGGAAGCTCAAAGGAACTATGCACGAGCACTTAAGTTGTGTGCGTTGATGAAGAAAATTTAAAATGTGTATGAAGTATGATTTTATAATGTTTTATACATAGAATAAGCTTTTACGAGATGTCTAATGATTGATTTCCCTAGTTTGAAAATATTACTTAGATAGACAAACCATTCTGCGAACACAATAGTTCGACTAGTTTTAAATTTATTTTAAAACATCAATTTAGTTTCTAAATTTCATCAGAAGAGGTATCCTTTTACTAAATCTCTGCTAATATGATCAAATGATAGTTCACTATATTATTTTATGTCAAAAAAAAAATGATTGCAAATATTAGATTGCAATTTAATATTTGCAATCTTTTTTTTTGTGACATTAGCTATCATTAAAAGTTGATTTGATTCTGTTCGAATCAAATAAATTTTCTTCACGGTTAGTTAAGAAAACAATTTTCCACTTCAAAATATACTCACGCATCACTTGCACACTATTGCTTTTGATAATGAAGATATCATAGTTTTTAGAGTTTGACTTTGTATGAATATGAAAATTTCCTTAGGATCCTTTTTGTTTTTTTGTAATTTTTATTTTACTAACAACAGTACTAAATTAAATTAATCTAAAGTGTATTTTGAATGAAACAAAGCTAAAAGAAGAAAAAAAGAAAGATTTTGTAACAATAACTTACCACAAATAACTTCTTCCATTTTATTAAGAAAGTAATAAAAGTTTTCGAAGACAAGAAAGTGAATAGTATTCGATCATCTCTTTGTTCGGAGTATGCGCTAATTATATCTGATGGTGATATCACAAGAAAGTCTTCCTATTGAGTAAGAACATATAGAACTTGACTGGAACCAAATAACTTGTCCTCCTATGTCACACAGTTGTTCGCATTTTCACTGGTATACCATAGTACTCATAATCACCGGCGGTAACGCTGACGACTTTCAGTTTCAAAGATAAACTATTGCAGAGAGTGCTTTCTACCCCAATTAGAGAATTTATTAGAAAGAATTCACATTAACCGAAAACAAAACAGTTTCAGAATATATTTTAGTAATAAAAATTTATCTGATAACCTGGGCCGATTTGGGCTCTGTGACTAGTAGAAGCGGCTTAGACACATCATCATTATCAGAGTGCATCTAAAACAACTCAATTCTGTCAGTTTTAAAAGGCTTTCAAGAAAAAAACAATCACTGGCATAGCGCACATTATACCGATCAGTATACCAGCAGTAGTTTTTCGGTAGTTATCACATGGACTAACTGGCAATAAAACTACTCCAGCTGACACCCACCGTTTGAGTTTATATTGGGCTTAAAGGAAGTCTCAGTGAGACTAGTAAAAGTCTACAATGATTCTTCTCCATGGACTTCTGGAGCCGAGTCATGATCGTTTTACTGAATGTTCGATCCATTTTTTTAGATATCTACTGAAAAATCAAGTAACAGAATTTCGACCTGAAAGCTTCTCCATACATAGATCTAATGACTCTAAGTATTCTAAAAGTTTCCGCTGAAAAGAGTATCTCGTCATTAAGATATTGGTTGTTCACAGTAGCAGTTTGTCACAGATATGTCATAAAAATCAAGTTCATTTGAAAGTGCAATAAGTTGACGAAAGAACATTCTTTTCATCTTAAACTTTCACGGTATTCTAAGAGTCAACATATGTATCTACGGGTAAAACGTTGGATCCAAAACTCAGTTATTTGGTTTCTCAGGAAGTATCTGAAATAGGTTGAAAATCCAGTAAACCATTCACAATTTAAGGGCTCGCACGATGAGTACCAGTTGGAGTAGTCATCTTGTCAGCCATTGGAGTTCAGATAGAGCTGTAAGCTATAGTATGTAAAAGCTTGAACCTGCATTGAAAATTTTTGGATTCAACAAACAACTTACATTCAAATTCTTGACCTTTAACATAATGAAGATCGAGAAGACTTGAGCTCAGGAAAGCCCTAGAATTGAAGGAATTAAGCTTGATATACTTAAGACAGACATATCCCAATCAACACATATCATATATATTAGTTAGATAGTTCAGTTAATAATGACGGTAACCAAAAAATCACGGTATCCAACTTAAACTTAAACCCTCTTATAAGCTCAATCTTTTTCTAATTCGCAATTTTTTTAACTTCAAAATTTTTTAAACTACAAAAGTTTAAAAACTACTTTGAAAAACTTCAGTATCAGTGTCAACGAAGCTGAGAATAGAGCCCAGAATTGAACTTCGAAACTCGACTCCGACTTGGTCTGGGTCATGAAAAAAATATTCTTTGGAGTCAGAATGATCATGAAGGATTTTTTCACAGTCAATACTGGAGTTACATCAATAAAATAGTTAAATATTTTTTTACTTCTAAATAGTAACATTTTTTTTCTTCACATGTCAAGTAATGAGTAAAATCACACTGCATCATAGATTCATAACTTTCAAAACAAACATCCGAGAAACGTTCTCATTGATAAGTAGCAGAAGAACATATATAAATATATATGCTAGTCAAAAGTAATTTTCGAAGTTTCTCGAAGTTAGACTCAGACAACAGATACTGGCAGTGTTGAAGCTAGAATAAGAAAAAAAATCTTATCTCGGAGTCGAAAAAATTACTTTTGTAGAATCAATGTCAGAAAAGTTCTTGTCCCGCAGTCGGAGCGGAAAGAAATTACTTTTGTGGATCAGTGTCGAAAACTCTTATCGAACAGTCGGAGACGAAAAAGAGTTATCTCAGAGTGGGAGTCGAAACGCGTTATTTCAGAGTCGGAATCGAAAAAAAAAAATTATTGCGAAATCAGTGTCGGAAACTCTTATTGAAGAGTTGGAATTGAAAAAAATTATTTTTTTGCAGACTCAGTGTCGAAAAAAACTTCTTATCCCGAAGTAGATGTTGAAAAACATCATTTGCACGAAATCGATGGTGAAAAGAACTTTCATCCAGGATTGCGAGTCAGAGCTGCGCGAATGAAAATTTTCGAAGTTCAAGAGTTTGGCTTCGGAAAGCTCTAGCTGAGAACAATAAATATTGTGCAGTAAGCTTAGAAAACATTTCTCCTGAGATACACATAGAAAGCCCCGGTCCGAAAATGTCTCACTCATTGTACTGTTTGTCAATTAGAATACTATAGAGATTAATAAAATAAAAAGACTATAAAATAATTTTGTTTTTTATAAATTATGTATAATAATTTTTATGCAAGTATGTTTTTCAAGGTTATTTTTTTTTTATTGTAAAACTTTATTTTTATCATATATATACTCTTACTCAAATTATATATATATATAAATATATTGTAATGTGACGTTCTTGTGATATGTAATGCTGAATCATTTTTATTTTAGATTGTAATATATATAGTGATACTAAACTACTTTTATTAGATTTTTTTCTACTTTTTATATTTCTCAAAATTTTATTACTTTGAATTTCAGTAAGTGTCTTTTTTTTCGTTTTGTGTTTTATGGTATTTCTATTTGTTAGATCGATTTTCATGGCTACTGCTGTGGCTAATGATACCAATTTGACCAAGGTTCTCGTACTTTGGTCTAAACCCATGACACAAAATATTATATCTTCGTCTGCTATACTCTTCGTACACTTAGTTCCATTAATCAACCATTTGTGCAAGAATATTACAAAAGTAGACAAATTTATTTTGGTAGTTTCTAGTGATGCTCTAAAAATATTACTTAATGATCAAATTTATGATTTTCCACAAGTCGAACTCATTTATGTGTATTATGATAATGATAGTGATTTCGAACGAGATAAAAATGCTTATCAAATAAAGTATTCAAAGATTCAGTTTATTCATGAAAGAAAGGTAGAAACACAAATAGTAGAAGGAATAATGGCTGATCATGCTATTAGTCCATCGAGACCGATCGAACATGAAACAATACATGATGTTGCATCATCTATAGAACAACGTATTATTGCTAAACGGTCAAATACTAATAGTCGTCATTCACCAGAGCCAAAACGGCTTTCTATGATTACGACACATGATTATTTTGTCAACAACATTAAAGAAATTCCGTCCATTTATATGTGTCCATTTTGTAAATTAATATTTCGTGACCCTTATCAACTCAATTGTGGACATCATGCTTGTGAATCATGTATTAATCTTACAAATAAGTAAGTGTATTTTATTTTTTGATTATTATCAAATTAAATTAAAATTCAATTCTACATTTCTTAGTAAAATGATCTGTTCAATATGTTCTAGAGTTTCATCCAGGGAAAATGTATATATAATGATATTATGTTTTATTTTTGTATCGATTTTCATTGTTTTAGATTCGGCCTGATCGAGATTTCTTGATTGAAATGCAAAAAAAGTTAATATCATGTTCGATGTGTACTTGGAGTGGATCTTTGGAACTCTATCAAGTATAATATATGAGAAAAGTTTTAAACGATGATTTGTATATTTTTTTGTTTTTTTTTAATTTTTAGGAACATATCGGTCAAAAGCATCACGATAGAGAATCTACGATTGCCACTACAGATATATATACGCAACAGGTACATACTTAGTGTAATCTTCAATTTATATAATAAATGTATAATCATGGTTTTAGTCTGATCAACATAATTGTGGCAAACCTGTAAATAAGGCTGAAACACATGAAGAAATTCAGTTGAATGTTTTTCCTCCGTCATGTACTATATTTGTACCACATAATAGTAATACAATTAATGATCAACATTATATCGAACTTTGTCAAATACAAGACATAATGTGTAGCTTATCGAATCATTTAAATATTCTAATTAATAATCAACAACAAATTCATACTGTAAATCATCATAGTCATACATTACTTCAAACTCTTGCTCATAACTGCTCTTCTCTCAAGCCATCCTGTGAAACAAATGCTACTCTTGCTAATGATCTCAAAATTAACTATGATCTATTAACTCAAGAAGTTTGGTCAATAAAACAGATTTTAGATGATGCATTACCTACATCTTATTGTGGCAGATTCATATGGAAAATAAGCAATGTTCAAGAGAAAATAGGTATTCACTAATTATGTTTGTGAAATCACCCTTAATTACCTATTTTCTGGTCTATAATACTCATCGATCAATGTAGACTAGATTAATTGAATTTTTCTGTATGATAAAAATGCGAAACGAATAAGATATCTTATTATTGCTACTGAACGATTCACTCTACTTTAGACATTTTCTTTCAAACCTTGATCAACTGATTAAAAATAAGAAAACCAACCGCGAAATGAGTAAGAACACTTTTTATCATAGCTTCTAATAGAACTAAAATATCAAATTTACGTATTCCCTCTTAACTTCTTTTTATTGATCTATAATTTGTTGGAAAGTAGCTTCAACATACTTATTTTTAATTCTTGAATAAGTATATACTATCATTTTTATTTAGTTGATGCTGCGTCTTTGTCTTGTTAATTTGGGCTCACTATAATTTGATATTTTCTATGTTCCTATTCCTAATTCATAATATATTGATGTTAACTGCTGCACATATTCATTTATAAACTAAGCATATTTCACTGCATGATTTTTTGTATTTTAATGAACTTTGAAGATCGGCATCCATCGACTCATCGTTCGAGACTATTTGTCTGAGAAATATCACTGTACGGTTGGATATGGTATATTGATATATTAATAGTCACCGCTAGTAACATCTATAAATCATGTACATCTACTAGAGTAGTCCAGAGTGAGAACTATTTTAAACATTGAAAACATATATATCTACCTTTGCCTTTACTACGACTATTCAAATTACAATTGTTAGAAAAAAATCCAATCACTTACATTTTTGTTGTTTGCTTTCACAATGGCAACATAGGACCTTTTAAGAGAGCAGACTTTGAATATAAATATTAACTTCTCTTCATGGTATCAAGAATCCTTTTTAAATTTGAATAACTCCAATAAATGGAAAATGCTTTGCTTAGTTTTTTAAGAATTTATAGGAAAAATAATCATGTTTAACAGGCGAGTAAAAGTACATTTCTTTATTTTATATCTATCATTTTAAACTAATATACATAGACAAATGCCTACTAAATAAGACTCAATTTAATCGGATCAGTTGTCCTCAAGGTCCTGGTAGGTCAATCTGACGGTTTCTGAATAACTATGTGGAAGAATTTGTTTAACTTGATGAAGTGCTTTTTTTAATTTTTTTTTAGTTATTGTTATTATTTGTTTTATTTAATAGCTGATGCAGAATCTGAACGGCAAAAATCGATTTATTCACCTCCATTTTATTCTTCACCAACAGGCTATAAAATGTGTTTAAGATTATTTTTAAATGGTGATAGTGATGCTCGTAACACACATATATCTTTATTTTTGGTCATTATGCAGAATGACTATGATGCTATTCTGCACTGGCCATTTTCTTATGAAGTATTATTTCATTTAATTGATCAATCAACATTAAATAATAATCAACATGATATAACTGCTTCATTTTGGCCTGATATAAAATCAAACTGTTTTCGCCGTCATGTTAATGCTATGAATCATGGTTATGGTATTAAAAAATTTCTCTCCCTTATAGAATTTGAACAAAATAAAAGCCTTTATATAAGAGATAATATTATGTTTATTGAAGCTAATATTAACTTTTTAAGCGAAAGACCAGGTAAAATATCTTATATAAAAAAAAAAAGTTTTAATTTTTGCTTTTTTTTCTTTTTTTACTTAGTACTGTCGTCGATTTTGCATGCAGGTGGATCACCTAATGATGAAGGGCATATCGACACAATCAATGAAGATATTATGAATATAAGTTAACATTCTGATGCTTTGTGATTATATGCAATGTGTCAGAAAATTAATATGCAACTAAAAAAAAGATTAGTAGCAATTTCTTGCCTCTTTAAATGTATTAATTCTATTGTTGTCGTTATTGTAAAACTAATTTGTCAGTCTTGATAGTATTTAATTGAGAGAAGAGAGAACGTTAGAATTCTAGGTAATGTTTACATAAAGTTAATAGAATATTTCATCCGTAAATACAGATTAGCAAATTTCCTCTAGCGTCCTTTTTTTTATTAAAAACAAACCTAATCATTTCCACCAAAGAATCATCTAGACTATTTTGAAAAAAAACCATATAGTATAATATATTTTCTCCTTTTATTCTTCACTCGCTGTAGTACCACTAACAGCTTCAAAACTTCTTTGAATTATTGTCATAATGAAAGCTACACATTTATGTAGGTTATAAACGAAAGGTCATTAACAAATGATTGCGGTATGGGTGTGGGTGTGGTAATGATTAAAACACTACATAAAATATGATTGCAGTAATATACTAGTATTATATAACTACATTAATGTGTAACTTTTCTTTAGACGCATGCATTGAGCGCAAATCCGAGAGTTCAGATTCAATCTTGGATACAATTATATTCAGTTATCTAATTAAAAAAAAAAAGAAGTAAGCCAAGCAATGGGATTTCATGATTGGCTATGGTACATCTACATACAGTAAAATAAAGCTGTTGGCGTAATCCCTACAGAATTAAAATGTGAAACACGATGGAGCTGCTCTTGGTAATCACAGAGAGATTCTTTTATTCTATCTATTTTACGGCATATTTCTAAACCATCAGTTTACTTATTCCTTCAGAACTGAAATCAGAAAGTAGTTTATATATTATAATAAGACATTATTGATGTACACTCTTTGATCGTATATCAACAACGTCTGTCACGATCTGTGGGGGGGAGGGGGTGCAAATTTCTATCCTATATACTTCAACATTTCTTTTAGATCGTGTTTCACAAAATGATCCAAAAAAGTGAAGGGATATGAACATTCTGAAAAAAGAAAGCCAACAGTGCTCACAAATGCGCAAATCTGATCTCAAACTTGAACCTGAGTATACTTCTGTGATTATCTATGTATCTTAAAAAAAGCTTAAGCAATTACCTAAATACTCGATACTCTCTCAGCTAGTTGGATAGTGCCTCAAATTTCGTACTTCACCGATGCTCAAATCTTGAAGTACGATAAAGTATTTGGATTTTATTGCCAGACAGACATATATAAAATGAACTCAAACTAATATGCTCGTGACGCACGTTGATAGTAAACTTGAAATAGCTAAGATGTTCTAAAATATATTTTTGACGTATCCTTGAAGGATGAAATTCTCGTTTGACTCTTAGACATACATATTCATCTCTCCTTCCCTTCTTATCCTTTATCTATTATTCTTTTCTGTATTCATCTCTTTTATTTCTAGCTGAAATAGTTACATTCCAGAGATATGAAATAACTCAATAAACATCATGACTGAGAGTGGTAAAAGTACTTCTACAATTCCTTGTTACATCGAACTTAATTTTAGATTCGATGCGCACCTATTTTCCTAATTAATGATATTTTTTACTGTTATGTAGATGTGCCTTGTGTACTTTTGTGAAACACGATCTGAAAGGAGCGTTGAAATATATATGGTAGAAATTTGTACCTCCCCCCACAGATCGTGACAGATGTTTTTGATAGACGATTAAGAATCATATATCGCTAATATCTCATGAAAATATATAAACTTCTTACTTTTTGCAGTTCTAGAGAATTAAATGAAAGATTACAGAAAATGGGTTCAAAGATGGATGACATAAGCAATATTCTGGTGATTAGTAATAACTGCTATATCGTGTTTCACATTTTAATCCCGCAGAGATTGGGTGTAGGTGTGGGTATGGGTGTGCTTATGTGTCAAAAGAAGAACACCTACACCTACACCCCACCCTTATCATTGAATGTGATTTTATTTTTTTGATAAAAACGAAAAGACATCAGGAAAATTTCTTCTGGTCAATGAGTTGCTATGTTCTACAGGCAAAAAATAGGATATTAAGCACAATAGAATATTTTATTTTTCATTTCTTATAAACAGTCATGTTTTATCGATTCTTTTAACTTTTGACATAAAGATACTCATGAGTGTATAATTAATTTTCGATTAATTTACTTAACGACTGACAAATTATTTTCATAACCATGATTATATAATTATTTATTTGCAAAGCGTGAAATTCTTTTCTTTTGACTTCTTCCATATTTTTAGTGTTTCATGACTATACGTCGATAACTATGCTAGATACTCATTTGCTTTTTTTTCATGTTTTTTTGCGGTAACATCAAACGATTTTTATTATTATCAATAAACTAGAAAGAAGTCACTAACCATGTGTTATTCAGATATATATAGAGCGCTCCAATCGTTTGGTAACAAAATAAAGCAATTTGCGGAAGAGCCAGACCTATTTTTCCTCAAATTATTGATATTCACATTTGCACTATAAATGCATGATTAACACACGGAAGGGTGTCTCATATAAATTTTCCTACACTAAAACATTTCCAACTGAAAAGTATGTTAATCGACTATCCATCTTATAGTCTTTCTCTGGTAAAAATTTCACTTCGAACGATTGAAGTGTTGTAGAGTAATGACGTAAATATTGTTCCAAACAGAGACCAAAGCCGAATCGAATATTCGAATAATTCGCCTCGATTCGATTCGACTCAGCAGTAATT